AAAAAGAGAAAAAAAAAATCAACTCATGCACTCTCACATAGGAAGGGTTGTGTTCATATCAAAATAGTATGTAATGCAATCTATCCAGCCCATGGACAGCATACTTGCAGGCTATTCAGCTATCACGGAACCAGAATGACAGAGAATGCAAATATAAGTTAGTCTGACAGCATTTTGTTTCCTCAACAATTAGTTGTAGAAAATCTAGGCGAAGAGACATGCAGTAATGTGTTCGTGTAATTATTCACAGTCCAATTACTTACAATACTGTTCAGTTTCATGTTGAGCAACCCCATTATCAATAGATTCACAAACAGAAAAGTGCAACAAATGAAGGTTTATCCACCAATGAGTTATCAGAATCTTGAGCAGCATTACAAACTTCACCATTTCAATAATCTAAATGGAAAAACCTTACAAGTTTTCAAGAAAATGCTGGTGTAGAGCCAGGTATAACTTATTTCATTTTAAATATGCTACACAACGCTCTTCACTTCACTGCATAATAGTTTATTATTTTTTTATATACATAGTGTTAAGTCTTAAGAACCATTGAAAGAGATATTTGCATTTCCGAAACTGCATCAGGCAGCTCCGTCGCCAAGGTGCCTTTCCTCTAGCCAAATGCACCACAGAGGTTCACCTCACCCCAAGGCCGCATCCTGTGTTAAGTATTAATAGGAAACGACACTGTGACACTTATAAAATCAGGACCTAAAACTCTCCTCTTCAATCTGAAACTTTGCACCCCAACTAGGGTTTTTACGACTAGGGCAGAGAACCCAATTAAGCACTAAGATTCTTACTGTTGGCTTCATAGCAAAACCGTAAATTATCGGTTTTGCTATGAAGCCAACAGTTGGCTCCATAGTGGAGCCAACCTTCTATATAAAACAAATATACCTACCATATCGGTTTTGCTATGAAGCCAACAATTGGCTCCATAGTGGAGCCAACCTTCTATATACAACAAGTAAGCCTACCATATTTTCTGATTACTTAAATAACACTAACATAATTTTCTTAATATGGTAGGTTTATTTGTTGTACAAGGTTGGCTCCCTATGGAGCCAACTGTTGGCTTCATAGCAAAACCGTAATTTTATCGGTTTTTCTATGAAGCCAACAATTGGCTCCATAGTGGAGCCAACCTTCTATATACAACAAGTAAACCTACCATATTTTCTTATTACTTAAATAACATTAACATAATTTAATTAATATGGTAGGTTTATATGTTGTATATAGAAGGTTGGCTCCACTATGGAACCAACTGTTGGCTTCATAGCAAAACCGTTAATTTTATATTTTGTCTTTATTTTTTTTTTCTTTTTTCTATAGTTGATTCTATTTTTCGTTTCTAATGTTATTTTTGTGGTTCCAATTCTATTTTTTCAGGGGCTATTGTTACCTGTGACTTGTGTTTTTGGCCTCTTTGATAATTGAGGTTTGATTTTGCCATTTCAATATTTCATCATATAATAATTGCACCACCTACATCATTGTTTTTATAATTTGGCCTCTCATGACTAATAATTGACCATTAACTATGTCCACAACATTGGGATAATCAGATAATTTTTACTAAGATCATCAACCCACCTTTGACCATCGGGAACTCGAGGTAATATCTGTCCTGTCCTGAAGCATCGACTTGAAATTAGATACTATAGCAGCACGCTCTGCCTGAGCTCTTTCTTGAGCGGACCTCTTCAGAGGCAAAACCCTGAAAGAAAATAGGAAACAAGAAAAAAATTAAAACAAGCTCACATTAAGTAGCCATACACGAGAGACTTAGCTGGGTTGACGTCTTAGTGAAAGGCCCGAATTACTATCATAGTATAGTCAGCTTATCAGCTTCATTGAGTTAATTTGCATTTTCTACAAGTTTTAAATATTAGCAAAATTGATATGACTTAGTGATGATAACCCACTCATACAAACGGGAATGAGGAACTTAAGAACTAATTTCAATGGATAACTAACTTTATTTGTATTATGCTAGGCCAACTACCTATTATAATTAGTTACCCTTTGGTAATCCATCACAATAAAAAATCACCACGTCCAACAGTACCAAATGCAGAAACAAACTACAGATGGTTACCCCACCAATACTTTTGGTATAAGAACCACATGCAGCAATTAACCATACCTCTCGTTCAGCAAAGTTTCCCTGTCTTTCTTGTCCAAGGCCAGAAACCGTGGATCATCACCCCATCTCCTCTTGAATGTTTGAAAATCAGTTTTATGGTCAATCTCCTAAATGTCAAAATAACTCTTAGTACCCCTTAAATCCATAAGGTCTATGCAGAATTCAAATTCCAAAAGAAACCGAGTGTAATTTAATAGGAGACAATCGCATCAAACCTCCTTCGCTTCTTCTAGTAACTGCTTGAAACCCTCCACAGCCGCCTTCTGAGCAGCTCGCTTTTCCTTACGCTCTTCTTCAGCACGTGTCCGGACATAATGCTCAAAAATAGCTCTTCGTGCATCATGGTTTGGAACAGCCTGAAACAAATTGACTCACGAAACAATCAGAAAGGTATTTCCGCTGTCAGCACCAATAAGGCACAGCATAAGAAGAAAAGCATGTTAAAGAACCAGTTGAGTTGAAGATAAAATCAGAGATTGCGAGAATTAATCCTTTCGACAAAACCTTCAATTGAAGTGGTCAAAGAATACATAAAAATTAAAGCTTGAATACTTCTTACAGATCCTTGTTACGCCTTTCCCAGTCCAATAATCAGTTTTGATATCCAGATCCAGTCATAAACTTTTGAAATGAAATAATCAAAGTTGCTTATACAGACAGCAATTTTAGACCTCACACAGTAATGACATATAATATTAAGCAAAATACTTTTGGTGGCAGGACATAATAAACAAGTAGCAGATAAAACACGCATTCTAACTTTTAAGCATGCCAACTTATTTGACAGAAATACTGAGAATAGCATCTGAACTTTTCAAGCATTACTTTCCATAAACCCTTATACAATAGATCATCAGACTCTATAAGCAAGAAACAGTCAATTAACTAGGTTTTCTAAACTTTAAACCTGAATCAACTATCCAGCCACAGTCAGATTCTCCTTGATAATTACGTATATTGACATTTTTTTTAGTAGTGTCAAGCATTTGATCTGAGTATTTCCAATGGAACAAACTGATTCCCTGAATCTCATATTTGTTATACTCAACCAACTGACTAAAAAGCCTTATATGCCCTAGATATACCAAGATCATATAAAACATTGGACTGTGTTCAACACCTAACTATTATTCCTCCACTGATCTTTAGCTAATCCAAAGTCACGAGATACCTTTAGTATCAGGTGATATCATAATCATAAACCTTGATATAATAACTAGTGAGAATCCCGTGCGATGCACGGGGATTTCGTAATGTCAAATATTTTTGCAAAATTTTATTTTAACAATGTATTAGCCCGTTGATCTGTCTATATTAATATACATAACATTTTAACATATATATTTATTTTTTAATACAGAAAAATAATAATTTTACATATTTTGGTTCATCATAATACAATATTATTTTATTAAAAAAAATATTGTCGTATAATGTCAATATTATTTATAACATTTAGAAGTAATATTTCTTATATAATGATAAATATTTATGTATATTAATATTAGTTATTGATGTGATTAATTTAAAAATATAGAAGTAAATCTAATGTTTATTAATATAGATCTCGATATTTTAGGTACAAATATATGATATATATGTACTGATATGAATATCTTGAGATACAAAAAAAAAATATGTGATTTATTACCTTAATTAATCAGCCGCAATTACCTAAAAATTGTATCTTTAAAATACACCATAAAATGTTTAAATAGTTTCCAGAATTAGTAAACATTTTTTTGGCGGGAAATAGTTACTATTTAAAAAATAATCAAACCTTTTTTTATATATATAGATCATAACACCACACAATTCCCATGAATGATAGAGATAACAAGAATACCACTGTATCCAAGTAATTAGGGGAATAAATGATTTATAGCAAGACCTTAGAGAAAATCTTCGCCTGGGAAGATGTTAACTTATTAATGGCTGATTTAGGGACATAAATTAAGAATATTAGTATATACGTAACAGGATTGAGATGAACGATGTATGGGAAAATATCTTCCGTATTCAGCCTATTTGGCTTGGGAGACTAGTATTTGTCCGACACGAGTTTTCTCTCAGAGTCATTGATTTCCTCATTTTACATTATCACTTGATAAAATCTAGTTAATTTTTTATTTATGAACAGCATAATCCATTGCATACACGAAGGAGTGACAGCAGAAGCAAGCAACAATGCTTGTTTACTTGGCTGGAATAAATACTTTTTCTTAGCAACAACTTATCAGATGTACGTAACAGCAAACCAAAATGGTCGCGTATTTCCAAGTGTATTCCAGACTCTACATATTTGACTATTAACAAAACTGGAGACTTTAGATACCGAAATGGTTAAAGAGAAAAAGGGGATCACATCAACTCTAGCTGAGGTCAACATATGAATATAATCATATATTTTTCACCCAGTTAAGGTCACAGTGTCAATGTACGCAGACAACAAACCAATGCAAGTACAAGTAGGAGAAATGGAATGCTGAGAGCACATCCGGACAACCAAAAAAATAGGGGATATACTGTAAGATAAAGAAACTTCAATGAAAAGAATAAACTCAATAACTTTTAAGAGGAAAAAAATCTATAAAACGAACATGCCTCAAAACCCGAAGAATAATTCACTGTAAAGAAACCCGCAAACCTTAAAGCGAGGATCGAACACTATTTTGGGAAGTTCCTTCTCCCATTTGGAGAATGGTGCCACTCCTTTTTCCTTAAGCATTTCCTATAATATCAAAAGCACAGATGAGGACTGAATGCATAAGGAAGTGAAACATGAAATGCGGAAGGAAAAGTTTAAGGAACGAATATACAACATGAAATGAAACAACAATAGTACAATATATAAATTGAGCCAACAGAATATGAATTTCAATCCATTCAAGTAAAAAGAGAAAAGGTGCATCTGTTGAAGTGAAGTTACTGTGCAAGAAATGAGAAGGGAGCAAGAGAGAGTGTAAACTTTCTGAAAACATTGTCATAAACAGACAGCAGAGATGAAAGAGGCAGTGAAAATCTAATAATGTTTTCCAAATGTTATTTCTTAGAATGATTACTACTTGCTCCCTTATTATTTTGGCTCAAAGTATAAGCTTACAACTTTTATTTGGATCAAACCCCATTTATAAAGAGCGATTTACATTGTTAAAATACTATTGACGACAAGGCAAATTATGCTTTATTTGATCTTGATAGTATCTAATGTGGATTTACAAACTAATGCAATTTTATAAAGTTGTTGGTGGTGCTTCTGTATTCACCCTGCAAGGTCATTTCTTTCAATTTCAAGATAACCAAAGCCAAGTACAAATCTATATATATATATAATTACTAGCTGATGTATTTTATAAAACATTTAATAAAACCTATTTTCATTTACCTCCAAAAGGAGTTACATTTTTTTTATTTAATTACTCACTAATATGCTAAAACGTTACACCTTAATATATATATTGTATTATTTATTTTTTGGATTAGTTACTAAATTAATTCTAAATTTGGTAGCAAAATATTCAAATGTGTAACGGATGTTGGAATTTAAAGTTGGTTGGCACATTCAGAGTTGTAACCGCTATATTTGGTTGCATTGTTGGAAGAAAAATATGATTGGCACATATTTTTTTCTAAAAATCATAAACACCATTTTTATTTATGTTAATTTTCTTAAATTATGCCACAAATATATAAGTTATTTTATTCATGTTACTAATGTAAACGTTGCATGGTTAAAATAAAATTTAAATCTCAATTAAGTTTGAATGATAAAAATAACTTAAGAAAAAGTAATTATTTTTATATGATAGAAGTACATGTCTAATTAATAAATACAAACAAAAACGTGTTTTATATCTGTGCAAATGCACAGGATCAAATACTAGGTAAGATAGCCAGAAATTAATCAATTTATGGTCTATTTGATTAAACAGGAAGAAACTCACATGAATTATGGTAAATCCACAGAAACAATCATGATTTGCTGACATTTGCATTCTAGTGAACTTTCAAAGTCAATTGACAACACAATTTAGCACATCAGCAGGAAAAGGTAGCCTATTTTCACATCTTATACTTAATTAGATAACACTTCTCATGCAACTACACCAGATCTTTCATAATTAAAGCTATACTTCCAGAAAAAGTATTCAATGTAGTTTGTGGAAATAATAAGCCTAAATTTAACCAATTACCTTAAAAAGCTGATGAAAACAATAACCTGATCACCCCAAAGAGGTTATCATGTTACAACATATCAGAAACAACACTCACAAGCCTGTTCGTATAGTCAGAATTAACACGATCACCCTATAGAACTTATCATTTACAGCATAGCAGAAACAACACTCACAACCCTGTTCATAAAGTCAAGTGTCTAGGAAAATTGTTGCAAATCTTAGGGCCCAGATACCAAAGTTTCTAAAAGGTTGGAGGAAACATAGGAGTTTGCCGACTGGCGATTTATTAATATTACACATGGTAGTGGCTCTATGATCTCTAAAACAAACTGGCATCAATGAAGTGTAGATTGCTAGAGCCATACGAAGACCCATAAGACTGTGCAGTGTGCACCATTGAAGTTAAGAGGGCAACTCAACATACAGAATCCAAGATACACATGATTCATTAGTTAAATGTTAATCTCTAGACTCACACCCACCTTAAGTGCCAACACTGGAGAATCAAAACAAATTACCTTGAATTGAAGGATGCACTCCTCCTTGGTGGGACCTCCATCTTCATCCTCAGAGTCTGAAGAGGAATTAGACGTATCAACATCACCATTTGTATCCTTGCGCTTATCTTTATTTTTCTCCATTTGTGGATCCCTGGAGGGAGCGTCAGTTGGTTTTGACCCATTCAGTTCTAAAGACACCGTGATCGATAAAGCTGCACCGTGAGATGTAGAATCAGGTATTCCAGAATCTTGCAGCTTCTTTTTTATGAGATCCAGTGCAGAAGAGGAAGTAGAGGCACCTGCAGGTCTAACAGATGTGGCATCACGACCACCTGTGTTAGCGGCAGGAGTGCTCAAGATAACAAGATCCACTCCTTTATTCATATCGACACTTGGAACCAGCACTGATTGAGCTTTCAGAGCATCAGCATCTTGCTGCTTCTTCAATTCTATTACGTCGCTGGGTATTTGCCAGCTGCTTAACTGATCAAGAAACAAACGATATTAAACACAAACTAGTGCAGACGTCACCAGGCAAAACAAAATTAAGATTAAGACAGCTATATATTGTAGAAGAAGAAATGAAGATATGCCATGGAAACAATAAGTATATTCCAAACAAGCATAAAAGAGGTTCAGTTAATTAAACTTTCCGCAAAATTTTCCCTTCAAGCATTGTTAAAAAAGGATGGTGAGTATTACGAGTTCATCTAGACAAAACGAACTCAGAAACAAGAATAAAGGATACTACGCCCAGTTCTTATTGAATGACGTTCGACATAAAAAATCAGGAGAAGTAACAGTTCATGGCCTGCCTAATTATTCTTTACCAAAATCATATATTTAGATATTTATTTCCTAATAATTATTCTAAAACTCATACCATACTTATATAATTATTTCCATCTCTCATACTTTCCCTTTCCATACTTTAAGATTAATTGTAAAGGCATACAGATATAATGAAAATATAGTTTAAAATGACAAATAAATAGCAACAAAAAATCCAACCTAAAACACTGGTTAGTAAGAAACAGAGTATCAAGGAATGAAATTATAATCATCAGCCACCGTAAATCTAACACCTCTAAACAAACACTATTTATGGAAAATGTCAAAACGAGATAATCCATAATATCCAAACATCAATAAAAGCATACCTGAGTTGTAGAGTTGTAGTAATATTTTTTTCCATCATTAGTGGTAACCAATGTCCAGTCTGTACCAGTCAATTTCTCCCTTGACACATAAGAACAAGCCAAGACATCAGTAAGACTTACACTTGAGAAAACAGGCATGCACAGTCAAATTTGAGGCATGGCAGACATGTATCACCAGTAGATCCAATAAATATAAAAGAAGAATCGTTGAATTTGATAAATTCAAGAAAGGCTACAGCAGAATCATCAAATTCTATGAAGAATGTGATATTTTAAATATAATGTTATCTTGAGAATGTAGCAATTCAGTTTGCAAGAAACCTTCTCTCAACATAGTTTTTTATCTCGGTTGCGAACCATATTTATATTGTATAAGGAAACTGATAATATGACCTTTTGTTTAACACCATACACCATATTATATATAATATAAAACAAATGGACAAGTTGCCCCATTTAATTCCAATTCAAGTAACATCACTACAAAAATTGAATAACCTTCAAACTCAATGTAACTACTACAAAATAGGCAACAAAAGCATATTTTACAAGCTTCTGAACCAGCTAAAAATTCTTTGAAAACCCATGTCCAAGGTTCTTCCCATGCTTTGATTGCACGGCTCCTCTCTATTAAACAGTTATCTCTCCACCAATTACACAATTAGATAGAACATATACAAATACGCAAGCAGCCCACATTCAAACGATATTATTGCATGATACTTCCCTCCAAACATACTGATACAAGCCAGAGAGGAAATTTTATCATTCATTTTAAGTGATACAAATACCAACAGCTGGATTCAGTTCCAAGCGAATTTAAAGTATCACAAATAGTCATATGACTACACTCTTACTATTCCATGCTAACTATCACTCTGCAGTTACTACACTTTAACTATTGCCTGCTTAACTATCACTCTGCAGTGATCAACTTATCCATAAATTTAATAAAGCAGGAAATACATTTAATATTATACTTCAAAACGTAATGTGAAAATCCTATGCTTTCTATCAAAGTAACGAAACCAGATAGAGTATAAACTTGCAGATACTTGAATTTAAATGCACCAATACTAGTCTATCACAACAAAATGACCCATTAAGTAGTTTTTGTCATTAAAACGCCTTTCACCCCCTTGTTGCCAATTTGAAATCAAGGAACTTCAATTTGAAAAGAAAAATTGCAATCCAGTTCCAGCTTCACGAATAGAGATTGAGCATTTCAGAAAATTAACCTCACAGCCAACATCAACAGTAAAATGTTTACACATTAAAATTGAGCATTTCAATACGCTACTCATCCAAGAAAAAAGATACAAAATGGAAGGAAGTGAAGAAGCTACAGACAAAACAAAACTAAATAATAGCAAAACATGAAGTGAAGGAATAAATTATATTTCCTCTGACAAACTCACCATGAAACAGGAGTTGTCTGCAGAGTGGCTCTATCAGACTGCATTCATTTATTAAAAAAGAAAAATAAAAATCAGATTCAATCAAGAAATAAGTCTTGGATTCATCAACAATAGAAAAGAGAGACAGAGAAAACAAGTCCAAGATTTCAACACCATCGGTGCACCATGGTATCCAATGATCAATCAGAAATACTTGGTGTTTTTAGTGATTCACCCTAAAAAAATGACAGAAATGCAGATTCAGAGTCCTAGACTGCTACAAGGTATACCTGGAATCTCGAAGTTGGAATACTTCTGTGCAGCTTAAGAAGAATTACACAATCTAGAAGGGTCATGCTACTGTTCTGTTACCTTACACTTCACATCCTCACTTTATTTTCTCTCAATACACAAAACTGATCTCACTTGTTTTATTTTATCGCTTAAACTCTACATAAGTTGAGGGCATTGAAACTACGCAAATCCTTCTTTACACTTCTATAAGTTCATCGCCAGCTTTTTGAGAAAAGCCCTCGTTCACCTTCCAACAAGCAATGTTGACAAGATTACTAAGTTGAAGGTAATCATATTCAGCCTACCACCAGCTACCGTTTAACAGCAGCAATACTTTGAGTGATCTGATACACTTTCATTTAGAAATAATAGCTAAGATTAGAATTTCGAGTGTGTGAGTGGAAATGGGATGGAACTGAAAGTGAGTGAATAGCGGAACTTCCACAAAATTCATTGAGGGGAAAAATTCTGGATGAATTTGTATCCAGTAGCACCTACTAGACAAGCATATGCACTAATAAACAAACCTTTTGATCATTACTTATAGAATATAGTAACAAACACAGCCAATTAGCAAAGACTAGTATTCTGGCTCCATGCAAATGCATGGTACGCATATAGTTTTATATATCTAACAATATTTAAAATCATAGTTTATTTAATAGTACGTAAAGTATTTCTATAGAATTATTACTGGACTGATAGCTTTGGTCAAAGTTTAAACATGAGTTATAATATAAACATAAATCTATAGTAATTACACATATATAAATAACCATTTAGATGGCTGGTATTTTAAAAATGAAATGGATTAGTATGATTTAATATGTTATAATCTACTTATTACAATTATAGAAGTATCTGTCAATGGAAAAATATGAGTTAAAAACAGACAACACAAATATAAATCCCCACTATATATAATTTGAGAACGTTTGAGCCTAAGGGTATGGCTCGCACGCCCTGTACGCTTATTTGTCGCAATTCTATGCTTCGGCTTAACAGGCTTGGATACGAACTCAACTATCCCAAGTAGGTTTGTGAATTACCTATTTTATCTTAAATCCTTTTATCATAATTAATCTTTAGTTTTCCTTAATCATACATATCTTTTGCTAACATCTTTCTATACTCACGCCTAAAATAATTTTGTTTTCTCCGCGCAATTTCTTAATCTATCAACATGTTTGAAGATTGAAATTTCAAATCTCTCAATGGTACAATTTTTTTTTTTATTATTTCAATCTCGACTTATATTTATTTTTATGGCTTCTCTTCATCATTGAATGATTTGCCGGAGTTGTTAGATTTTTTTTTTTTTTAAATTTATCATGCATTTACAAAATGAATATTGATCATACATAAATGTTTGTTTCAAGCAGAGTTGGGGGAACTTAGAGCAGAGTGCGTCGTCACCCTGCTAAGCACAACCGATGACGCTGATGATTGCTTTGTTTTCATCATTTTTTGATCCAATTAAGGATGGTGATTGATGAAGTGTGTGATTTGTGGAGTTTTGATGTCATACATATGCATATATTTTCTATTGGGAAAACACAATTTGAAAGTTGAATTTAGGAGTTCTCTTATCTTTCTAGAAAACTTACATAAACTTGCTTAGCATTATTCTTGTAAAAACCATATTAGGTCTTTGAATGAGGGAATATCTTTGATTCAAATAAGTATGTTTAGGATGACAATTGTAAAGATCTTAATTTCAATGTAGCTCAAATTATTGTTTGTATAAAATTTTGTATAAATTTATATTTTTAGGATTCTGTCCATTGCACATGGAGCTAGAAGAGTCATTGTGACAATTCTCCTGGCATAGTGCTAATAATGGACTAGATCAAAATGGCTCAATTCAAATTCTAGTGCTTCTTCTATTAGTGAAGTTTCTAGAGAAAATATATCAAACGACGCAATGCACCTTGGGTCGCTATGGAAACAGCCTCCTTGTATAATTACAAGGGTAAGGTCCGCGTACAACTGACCCCCCCAGACCCCAACCCGTTTGGGAATATACTGAGTATGTTGATGCCTAATATTAATTAAGAACTCTAAAGGAAAAGATGTGATACACGTCTTGGAGTGAAAGACAGAGAAAAAAAAAAGCTTTTTTTTTTTGATGTTATATTTTTAGGATTCAAATTCAATATTGTATAAATTTACATTTTTTTGGGACACTAAGAATGTAGCGCCCCGTGGATTTAAATAGACGTCTTCCTATTTTATGTTACCATTAATAATATATTTGGTTATTCAAACTATTATTATTATTATTAACCTATCTAACTTTCCTAATAAGAATTAAGGTAAGATTTTTAGGAGTGAGATAAGGATTTAAATTGTATAAGTTCAAAATTTAAAAGGGATTTGAGATAAGTTATTTTAGGAAGAAATTCTCCCACGTATTTCTCCTAATCAAGGCCGGACGGATTCCTTAGACGGTTACAACAAAATCTCGAGCTTTCCTCCTCCTTCTCTTTATACCCCATCAACACCTCTTTCGACCCTTACTCTCTTCTCTTCATTGGATTATATTTTTCTTTTCTTTTCATCCGGCGTCCGAGAGCAGCCCTTGAGGCCGAGACCTTCCTTCAACCCCGCAGCAATTCCCTAGGAACTAAATCACTTCAACCCCGTGCAAGGTAAGGGTGAGTTTGTATATGAATTATCTCATTTCATACTCAATTCATACTTAACATCAAACTCAACTCTAACTCAACCCCACCATCCTCAATATTTTATCAATATAATTAAATAATATCAACCAATCATTTTTACATATCACATCAACTTTGATTCAGTATTCATCCACTCACATAATTTTAACTAATCTGATCTTCATATCATTTCTCTCATACTTTTACGTCAAATCAATTTTAATTATTTTATTTTAAATATTATTTAATATAAACTCAAACTCCCACTAACAACTAATCATACCACATTTTCAAAAAATAACTATAGTTAAAAAAAAAAAAACCTCATTTTGAGCAGATTTATTTGTATACAAACACGCTCTAAAATTTAAAATTTCAAAGTTTGATTTATCATTTGCTTCAAGTTTCTGATTAGATTCAGCATAGCCGAACCCTTTATCCCGTGGATTTACCTTCAATGGAGCAATCTTGAGTCACTGTACTCAGCCTCAGAGCCACCAAACCTAATCGTAGAGCCACCGCACCCAGGCGCAAGCATACCAGGCGCTGTGCTCACAGAAGACTCGCGTGATGCATGCGGGCGCTCGCGCACGACACCCACCTGACACTCGCAGGCAGGCTGCCGAAACCCGCTCACAGGCAGGCCTCCGAGACCCGCTCGCAGGCGCTCCCAGCAGTGCTACATGCGCTCCTAGGTGCAATCCGAGCGACCGACAGCGTTCCAGGCGCGACCCACAGCGTGCCAGACACATCTAAACCCCAACCCGTGGATAGTACGCAACCCCTTGGCATTTTTCAACCCTTAGCCAAGTCATCTGGGGCAGCACCTAAGTCTCAAACCTCAATTAAATTTCATCCGAGTCGTTAGCCTTTTTCCTGTAATCCTTAGTCGCACCTCACGCCAAGTTTAATTAAGTTAAATTTTAAAATTTTATCTATGCATTATGAAGAATATTATGTTTAAGTTAAATAATTTTATCATGTAGATGTTGAGGGGTCGAGTCCTAGAGTTGAGAAAGGTGACCACCAACGATATAAAGTTCATATGCCTGATTTGATAAGCTTTAGGCCGGAGAGCTCTGCCTTGAAAATTACAGTTTTTATCGGCAATGGAACTTAAATCTAATGCATATATGGTTGAAACAAAGCATATGTTTATCGGCAATGGAACTTAAATCTACTGCATATATGATTGAAACAAAGCATATGTTGTTGCAAGAAAGTGGATATAAATTGTCAAATAACTCCGTTGGTGTGAGTTCTAGAAAATATGTTTGTTAGTATCAGGACTACTACCATTAGTTTTCTATATCCAATCATCAAAGGTAAGATTTTCAAAAGGTTAAGACTGAAAATTTAAATATATATATATATAAAATAAAATAAAAAAATAAAAAATTATTACCAAAAAGGTATTTGAATTAGTACAAACTACCGATACAAAAATAATACAGTAAATAAATGTTTAAAAGCAACATGACCTACTACCAAATTTGAAAACCTACTTTTTGCTCGGAAGAGTTTATATTACTAACTAGTACGAATCTCGTGCACGGGTAAAAGTAATTATTAATATTTATAAATTAAAATTTCTCATTAAATTATAGATAAGTATATTTTTTCATATTCGCATTAACTTATGGTAAATATTGGAATGATATATTGCCATGTAAAATAAAGATCAAACTTTCTATATTTTGGTTGTATTGATGCATTTCCATATCAGATTATTTTTTATATTATTGTACATTTTAAGTTTAGACTGTATTGATGTGTTATTTGAATTGAAATTATCCTTACTCAAAATTAAATATTATATTTGCTAATTAAATGTCATAAAGTGTAAGGCCCCGTTTGATTTTGAATAAATATGTGAATTATTTAAATTATTATTGCTTTTATTATTATTATTAGTATTATTATTCGCCTAATTGTTATTAAATGTCTAATTGAATTTAAATGTTTTAAATGTTTATTATCATTATTAAATAAATATTATTGTTATTTATATTAAATGTCTAAATTGCCTAAATGTGATTATGTGATTATATGGTTATTATTAATAAATATTATTTGTGCGTATTATATATATTTATATCCCATTTTATTTATCTCACGTTCGTGTTGGGTCTCGATTATTAATTATTCTTGAACCGAGAAAGGCCGTGAGCCTCGAACCTGCCGCGAGCCCGAACCACACTCCAGCGCCGACCCGGTTTCTTTTCCTCTCGGATAGCTTGTTGACCAAGTTGTTAAGTTAGAATCCTTAACCCTAATGCTATTAATGTATGAGATTAATTCCCCCAGCTTGATTAAACCCTCTCACCCGCAGCTTTTCTTTCTCTGCTCGACATAGTCCTTGTCCGCGCAAGAGAACTTCTTTCTCCTTCCTCGCACCATCATCCTACTGCCATCATCAACCTCTCCTCTCTGATCGCGAATTTGCAGCAAAGAATAAAAAAAAAAAGAAGAAAACAGAAAACAGAGCATCGCTCATCACCATCCCTGGACACCATAACCAGCGCTCCAACATCATCGATCGTCTCCTTGCAGCAAGTCGCAGCACCACCATCATCGTGCTATCTCATCATCGAGAAGCTCTCCTTCAGAAAGTCCCGACCAGAGCCAACAACTTCGGCCCACCGCGCGACCAAACACTGCCCCGTGAACGCCCCGGGACCACCGTTCTTAGCCGACGGGTCTCGTCGAGTCCCGTCGAAGTGTCGAGCGTAGCCGTTGAGTCCCGCCGTGTTCCGTCAAAGTGCCGAACAAAGCCGGCGAGTCCCGGCATATTTTTTTTCTTCTTTCCCGTTCGCTTGCTGCTGTTCACTCACAGGTTCGCGATTTCCACAGGCCGCAACCATACCAGCACCTCCGCGACCAGTTTTTTCCGGCGAGTCCCTGCGTTTTCCGGCGACCATCGTGTGCCTGCTGTTTGTCCTCAGGCCACCGCGGCAGCTTCTTCGAGACCAGACCCGCAGACAGCTTCTCCGCGGCTCCATTGTGCTGTTCGATACTCGTGTCCCGTCGGCGGGCCAAACGTAGTTGTCGAGCCCTCCCGAACAGCCCGTCTTAGTTTTGTGTTATTCCCGAGAACGGTACCGAGACTCGTTTCCCCACTCGTTTGTTCGCGTGTTGTGTTTAACGATTTAAATGCTTATGTAGGTTTATTTATAATTTATTTATGTAGGATTTTGGTGATTTAAGTGATATTGTGATATATGATAAATGTTTAACTGCTCGTATATGTGGGTTATTCGAAATTGTCTATGCCTTGAATGATAATTGTTTTATTTATGTGGGTATGATCAATGTATGCATGTGAGCATGTAATCTTCGATGTGAGCTGTACCGGCCGTCAAACAGTTATCCCCGTAGCTATAGAACGTACCCCGCAAGGGTAATCTCCACGTTTGTCCTTTACTAAGGACCACCTCATCTGTAAGACCTTGGCAATGTGCCCTGGCCGGTGATGGATATCCTGTCTCAGCACTAGGTGCGTGTTGTGACGGTTGAGCCTCCTGCTGTTTGGGCACCCCATTTATGTTCGCCGAAAGGCATACGAGCAGCAGTCTATTGTTATAGGTGTGCACATGAGATTTACTTTGGTTAGGAGATGAGATGTTTATTGATTATGTTCATACTGCGACCATGCCATTTAATTTCTCGTATATTATTATTATTCATGTGCATAGTAGTGAGCACTACAGTTCACCGTGCTCACTCCCACCTGCTCTTCATGGATGCAGGTTAAGCGGGTGTCGGATGACGAGGCAAAGACGAGTGGTGGTCGGTCGTTGACTTGACCTAATATAGTAGTTTCCGCTTACATTTATGAACCTTGGAATATTGTCGATATTTATGAACATTGGTTATATTTATGCATTTATGACTTTGGAATTTCTGGAACTTTGGATTGGGAGATGTTTCCTCATGAATAATTTGGATGAACTTGGGACTTACGGAAACTTCGGATTTATGATTTATGCAAGTATGATTTATGTTATTTATGTGATTTATATTGAGTAGCTCCACCTATTTATGAAAAGAATTCTGAAAAATCAAAGTTGACTTTTTGATTTTCGACAAAATAAAAAGTGGGGCGTTACATAAAGAATATGTTATGGATGTTTTAAAATAAAATATTTGCTCCTAAATTGCAAACTTTGTTTAACATTTTTTGGGACGAAATCACAAATAGGATGTTACCAAAAATACTAATTATCATGGTATATTCACGCATTTTTACCAAATAAATCTTATTGGAATTACTCACCAAAAATCTAATCTCATTTTATAAATAGAGTTTTCTATGAATAGATAAATATATTATTTTGAAAGTATAGTGAGAATCGGATTTTGCCAAAATTGTGTGGGAAATAAAATCGTTCAACGAACCATTGGAAAAGATGCACCAATAATTTTACTAAGAAAATTAATTTGAAATTTATTCACCAAATGATCGGAAAAGTGTTTAATTAAGAAAAAAGAAAAATTATAAGTAACATCCATTTTTAAAATATGCACCCGTTTTTTTTCATAAAAAACAGTATATGAAATTGAAATTGATTTGCTCCTCTAATCTCATGTGTTTTTAAAAACATTTCTTATAATAGTAAGTCAAACATTTAATTAACAAGTCAAAGTTACTATTTATGTATTTTTTCAACAACCTTTTCATATTACCATAGATTTTAGACAATTGCCAATTAATACGTACACATACATAGATAGCAGGAAGAGATTATTCAACTTAACCAAAAACTGGACATTACAGAAGCTAGACATGATACAAGTTAAAATTTGTAATAATATATTAAAAATCGGGGAACACTTACAGTACCTCTAATTTAAAACCAGGTGGCTTCTCATATGTTGACTTCCCCGTCACCGCATTATAATAATAGACAGTGCTGGTTTCTGTCCTGTGCGCAGTCCAAGCATCCTGTTGCTCTTTGGCATCTTTGATTTGATTATTACAATATTTAATGTCATCAATCAGAAGTGCTCACAGCATTACTAGCACACACATAAGTGTAACAACATTTCAAGGGAAAACCTCACTTACCAATTCCCGAAGGTAACTCCGCCTGTCCAGAACCCACAGGCTGACCATCAGCAGCAGGGACTCCAACTGCAGATATAGGTGGAGAAACACCAACACCAGGGGGTTGGATATCAGGATATGAAACACCACAAGAGGGCATGGAATAAGGACCAGAGCGAGCTGCATATGGAGAAAATGGTGGTCTAGCTAAGCCATTATTCTGCTGTGGCTGCAACCACACCTCCTGAGGAGAAGGGGGTGGGAAATTATGCTGAATTGAGGGGTTATAGATAACACTAACAGGAGCAGGGGGCATAAAGGTTCTTATATGTGCACTTGAGTCGGCAGATGAAGATAGGATAGTTGAAGTAGATGGAGAAGTAGAAGCTATTATGGGAGTTTTAGAAATCCCTGTAGGCACTTGAAATGTTGGTGCGGAGGGCATCCACATAGGCATATTAGGACTAGGATGTGGATGAGCAGACTGAGAACCAGATTGCATAAATGTTTGTGCAGAATTCATCGCTCCCAAACCATCAGCTCTCACATTCTGCACCCGGCCCAAAACGTTAAATATCAAAATTAGCGCGTAAGCATTTAACTTGAGTGAGTGACCAAGACAAAGGAAAATTTAAAATCCACCGACCAGGGTTGAGGTACTGGTTATATAAACCCAAATATTCGCTTTGGCAGAACAAGTTTAACATTGTTAATAAAGCTTGACAGCCAGGAGCTAGCCTGTTTACAATCAAGGTACAATTATCATTGCCCCCTCATGCTAAATTTTCTCCGTTTCTGTTTTGCTGCTTTTGTAGATACATATTACCAGCGAACTAATATCATTATGCAATGTTCTGCTAGAAGATTTAACTAATGTTCTCACCAGACCCTTCTAACAACTAATTAGCAGGTCACTGACCACTTGTGCTTGTAAAAACCCCTATATAACTAGATATCATCGGAAATTCTTGCACCAGCTATATTTTCAAGCCAGGAACACTGTTTAGTAACAGGAGCTTTACAATTGGCAAATGAAAGATGTATAATTTGAACTTGTTAAGGAGGTTTCACAAAGAACATACCAGATGCATAGTCTTAAGTGCCTAGGTCAAGGAAAAATCTAATTAAACGAATCACAATTTAGAAAACAAGAAATCAGAAATGAGGCAAGCCAATGAATAAAGCAGCACACATATGATATCAGGTTGGGCTCACATCTCAAGCAAAACGACTACCTATTATCCAGAAAGAGCAATGAAAGGTATGTAGGAATTAAGCTAATACATACAGTTCGATGTGATAGATCTGTCTGATTTTGCTGCACCTTTCCACTGAAAGAATAATTTCCAGCAAGTGATGAACTTCCTTCAATCACAAGAGGTGGGCCTGGAGGAACTGTGGCCTGTGACACTACAGTTCCAAAGGAACCAGGCTGTGGGGGGAATGAAGAAGCTGGAGGTTGCATGGTTGTTCAGGAAATGAGGCACTCTTCTAATAGCCTGCTACAAATAAATAAATAATAACAGTAGAAAAGTGCCAGATGTACCAATTCAAGGAGTACGACCATATCAAAACACCATTGTATCTCTTTATAAGCAATATTTAAAACATATATCATCAACACAATTGAGTTTAGAGTTAAAACTGCACACTTATTACTCGTGAACAAAAGAAGGTTGGAATATGAAACTATTTCATTCATAGGAAACAAAATTACAATCACAGATGACAGAAGTGCCTGCAAGTATTTAAATTATAGGAAGAAGAGAGAGAGAGAGAGAGAGAGAGATAGATAGATAGATAGATAGATAGAAAAACCAAGAAACTCAATGAATTTGCTTATCACACTACGCTTGCCTCCTTCAGATATAATAAAACCAAGAAACAAAGTGCTCAGCTTATTTAATAAAAGTAGAAAAACAAAAGGAAATGAATAAAACGTATAAGTATGCATAACATCCTAAATAAAAAGAAGATGAGAAAGGTAAACTAAATCAAGAGGGAAAACACCGGATTGAAAGACATGGCCGGGGAACATGAAAATCGAATCAATTGTTTTAGGGTTTATCAATACTTCACATAGGATCAGTGTAACTAAAGGGGAAATTATCAAGGAAATGAACAATGTGGAGGCGAAGAAGACAACTTACCAGAGAGCAGAGAAGTACACTAAATTTGGCCGGAAAGCGAACTGCGAGGTGAAGTTATGCGCGTAGAAGGTTTTTGGTTCTTTTCCTATTTTCATTTACGAGGGATTATTGATTCATATTTGCTCATGAGATGATGGTGTTCTCTCTTACATATATACTAGTATGTACTCCGTGCGCTGCACGGGACAGAGATATTAAATTATTTTTTCACCTATTATGTCCGTTTAAGCATAGTTTTTTTAAACCCGGGCAAGTCTTCAGGTCATTGGTTCAACCGTCGGGTCATCGGGTTAGTTGCTGAGCCGGATAATTAATCTTAATTTTTTTTAATAATATATAGAGTATTTTGTCATATAAATTTACATAAACTAAAAAATTAAAAGTTTTGTATATATGATTTGTACAAGTGTTAATGATATGTATTTCATGAGAATATTATATATATTTTTATCTTTTAAATACAAAAATTATTTTAAAAAATGAAAAAAAATATATAGGGACCGGGTCAATGCCCTGGGTCGATAGGGTCAAGGTCGGGTTGGCCGGGTCCTTTGTTGCCTGGTCCGAATAGTCCACCCGGTCCGGGTTGAAAAACACTGCGTTTAAATCTAAAAAGCAATAGGTTATCATCTATTTTCTATCTCTTTTAATCAACATTAAGTCGAAAAAAAATAAGGTTATAATATGTTTTACACTTTTAATCAACATTGTTTTTTTTGCCTGAACATTAAATATGAGCATGTTAGGGCTAACTTGTAAAATTATTAATGTATTATCTCACTAACACATTTATACTAATATAAAATTGATTTTACTATATATATTTATTCCTTGATATAAGAGAAAATAAAAGTTTTACTTATTTTGTTTACCATATAATACTTAATATTATTATTTATTATAAACTTTCTTGTCATATAATATCATTATTATTTATAATATATGAGTTGTACGTCTTCTTTCTTCTTTTTCTTTTTATTAGAACTTAAATTATGTTGTAATATTTATCTTGACCAAAATATTATCAACATGAATCACAAAAATTCAATTTTGTATATTATTATAATGAATATCAATGAAATTATTGTTGATATTACTAATATTATTTAAGGAACTATATTTTTTACTCATATATGATTTGATCTTATATCAAATCGTGTTTATATATATATATATATATATATATATATATATATAGCTATTAATGAATATATTTAAAAAAAATCCAAAAAAAGGTATGCAATAAATTTTTCAAAAAATTTGATTACTATTTTTAGTAAATGGTAATTCTTATTATGTATATATATATATATATATGTATGTATAGATTCATTATTTTAGGGGATTGTATGTGATAAATCTAAATTTGTATAATTCACGTTTTTTTATATATTTTTCTTATTAAATTAGAAATATAATTTTATTATAAAATAATAGCCGACATTCAAAACAATAGTATTAGCCGATTTGATGTTTGTTGATATCCGAGTTAGCCAGGAATGAGCCGGGGAGACGTTGCCAACCGACTCGAGCCAAAAGCCCGGTCTGATGAGGAAGTGCCGAGCTGGATCATGGATTAGAGTGGCGGGAATCCGTCCTGGGAACAGATTCTCAGCCCGGCTCCCGTCTCAGACCGGGCAACTGCCGGCCTGAGTGGGTGTCGAACATGAAGAAGACTATTCGTAGTCTGAAGAGCATCTATGAACGAAGTGCCGACCTGAAAGGACAAAGAGGCCGACCAGGGACGACGCATGGGTTTCGATGAGCATTAAAATATTCCCACTTGGGAGGTCATCATTGGACGATGGGACAAGTAATCATGGCCTAGCCCCCTACCAGCCAGCCTAAGTCAGCAAAGCCATCCAGCATTAAATGCCCCCCATGCTGGCATTTAATGCCCGTCAGGCAATGATTGAGGAAACCTCAAATCGCATTAAATAACCGTCAGACGGACGCCGAACTGCCCTGCCGGATTACTGTGCGACAAGACCAGTGAACAGTAGTTGAATAGTGCCACATTAAAGACCACTATAAATAGCAGATCATCTCATTTATTTTGGGTTGTTGAATTCCAACTAACTCCTGCCTTCTCTCTATTTTCTCTCTCTAAACTGTAAGAAGCTCATTGTAAGAACTGTTAAGTATATCGCAAGTGCCGACCTCGTACGAGAGGCCGACCTCGTGATCGCCTAATAAAATCGTAATTAAACCGGATTATTCTCCCCTTTTTCAGTCCTGCTTTCTTTATCTTTTATTTTTAACCGTTGACCGAAAACGCTCGTCAACAATGTTAAAAAAGTTTTTGATTTTTTGAGCAATCAAAACATAACTGCTAGATTTAGTGGTTAAAAAATTCAAAATAAATAATATTTTTTAATATTTTGATTATTAAATAATTTGTAATTTGTTTTTATTAAAATATAAAAATCCGACATCTAAAATAAATGGATTAGTCAATTTGATGATAAAAAAGTTTTCCATTTTTTGAGCATCAAAACATAACTGGCAGATTTAATGGTTAGAAAAATAAAATAAAATAAAATAATTTTATTTATATTTTTTTATATGAAATTAGTCGTATGTTAGTTTTATTAAAAACTAAAGCCGATATTTAAATCAATTGTATTAGCCGCTTTGATGTTAAAAAAGTTTGCGATTTTTCAAATTACTAAAGTAATTTTTTATTATTAAACTAGCCATAAATTATTTCTTAAAAAATAAAAAATAAAAATAAAAATAAAAAACTACAATTGTGATACATTATTTTCCTTTTAAATTTTTTTTGTCGATTTTATGGAAGTTTAAAAAGTAACAACCCTAATCTTATCCATAAAAAATTAACAAACAACACTTTTTTAGGCCAACATTAGTGAGAGCCGTTTGGAATTTAAAAAAAAAAAAAAAAAACTTTCTATCAATAGCATGTAATTAATGTATGTCCTATTTGACCAAAATTTGACTTGCCATTTTTGAGAAAATGGTAATTTTTTTTTTATATATATAGGTAAACGAGTTATGGCGATTGTGGTGACGACACGTGTCCAATTTCGGCCCTTCCGGTGGTCGACACGTGGCAGTGACTATTTATATTTTTTCCTTCATTGAGACAAAACGGCACCGTTTTGGTGCCTTCATAAGGTGCATTTTTATTGATAATGGCTACTACTGTTCTACTGTTTGCATTTACACATTCTTTGGACTGAATTCTGCAGAAATTTTCTTTCTCTTCAATTCCCGCACAAGCAAAGTTTCGGATCTGACAGGAGCAGGTGAAGGTGAATTTGTAGAGGTAATACAATTTGTTGAGCACGCTTCCTCTTACAAACCCAAATTTAGGGAATAGACATCCCTTCTTCCACATCCACTCATTCCTTCTTCTCCATTTCCCAAAAAACACAAAATCGTGCCTCCCCCTATTCCTCATTCACCCATTTTCAAAGAACACAAAATTTCGCTCAAAAAAAACCCTAATCGGCAAAAGGCGGGAAACCACCAACTCTGGCGCCGATGAGCGGCGTGGGCTCACTGCAGGTGCGCCGCCACAGGGAGGCAGTCGGAGTGTCATGGCAGCGGCGTTGTCCAACAGCACGTTTTCTAGCCTGAGCGAAAAGAAAAGCGAGCGGGAGGAGAACGACGAGTAGATGGCGTCGACCTCGCTGACGGCGGTGGCGACGGGGCTGCGGGAAGGAAGAAGCTCCGTCTGTCCAAGTACCATCATCGACGCGGGGCTTTTTAGTTTTATTTTTAAACCTGATCGTCACTCTTGGCCTCTTTCTCCATCTCTCTTCAAATTGACACTATAATCAGAGAGTTACCATCACCAAATGCAGAGAATAACCCTTAATTCCCCAATTATCTAAAAGGTTTGGGTTTTACTGTTCACAGTTATTCGCATCCGTAACATCCGTTGTGCTCGTGTAAATGTCCTGTGCGCATAAAATGCGATAAAGTTGCAATTTTTTTTATTGATCTGATTTTGACGTCGTTGTTTGAATTCTTAGGTTCTTTTTCTTCGTCAAGGAGGCCTTCAATTTCCGATATGAGCAAAGATAAAGACAGGCCGCCGGAACCCCTTGATTTCTTCATATGGACGGTTGAGGTTTTTCTCTTTACCCCTATTTTTCTGTCAATGTTTTTTTTTTGTTTTTTGTTTTTTGGGTTTGTTCTTAAGTGTTTTCTGTTAACAGGTCTTGTACTCTGTTGATGTAATTTGTTCTTGTAGAAATTGGGGTTTGGGTGTGGTTAATTGTGTAGATTAGTCCAATGTATGAGAATTTTGATCCGTATTCATTGTGGACTGTTTGTGAGCCCTTTTTCTCCAGTTTCCACTCTCGCTTTGGCCAGTCTCAATTACAGACGAGAATTCCTTGTTTTTCTACGTCCTTTTCATTTCCTATGCTCTAACATTTATGCATCTTCAAACTGAAATCTTCAGGAACTTGGCCAATGGGTATCATTTTCGCTTAAGATTTCCATAATTTTTCTTTAATAAGAAAAGAAAGCTAGATTAAACATAATTGTTCAACTAGTTGTTGGGCTGCAGAAAATGATGGAAGAAGGGTAGTCTTCTCAAACAAACTTGCGGAAAAAATTGTAGTTACGAAATTCAATTAGGAAGTGTTTTTTAATTGAAATTTTATATCTTTTTTTGTTTTCTCTTTTTGTTGATAGGATGTTGGCATGTGGTTGGAAGAGATAAATCTCGGTGGATATCGCCAGATTTTCAAGGAAACATATGCCTTATTTACTGCCTTAGGCAAAATAAGTTGCTAAATCAACAACTAATCTACCAATTTATTAATTTTGAAGAAAAGTAAAGATGTATTTCTGATTAGGAAGCTAAAAAGCTAATGGGTACAGATGCCTCGCATATTTCTAGAAAACCATATAATAAACCACTGCTGAAAGTGGGTTGTATTGATTATGTTTTTTTCCCCTTTTTTTAGTGTAATTATGTGATTTTTCGGTGCAGGTGTATATGACACTGTGTTCGATGTTGACTATGATAAGGAGAGAGCACAAGTATGGGTCTTGAGCCGAATGGATTTACTTTCGACGGTGCAGATGCTGCTGGTGTAGATTATGCTTTGAATAGGTAATGCGGCTCGATTTCTATATTTTATATACTTTAAGTGATTTATTTTTACTTATTTTTTGTTAAACCGCAAGACACAAAATTCCTCCCATATCACCAGTAGATTTTTCAAAATAAAAGGACTTACATGACCTGAAAAACTGTCGTGATATTCGTTAGTAATTTTCTTTTATCCAAAGAAGAGAATTGCAGTAATTAATCGACTTATTTACGAGTTTATATTTGTTTGTTAGAGCAATATCTGCTTGGTAT